TTAAAACGTCATTATAATACAGTTCACAAGTTAGAGGAAATCACATAGTTTTTAAAAACTAAACTATTAAGTTTATATCTATTTGTATATTTAATTCAAGACTGAGATTATATGTTAAAAATTTGATAGTTTAATGACTGTCACTTTTAGAATTAATAAATTTTAATTGTGTAAATATAGTATATGAAAAACAGTAATGCTAAACATAGAAAATATTTTCATGAAATTGTTAAAATAAATTTCTTAATGTAGCATGACAAAATAAAATTTTTTTAAATTATTTTTGATAAATTTTAATACTTTAGAGTTTAGTCCATTATTGTTGATCAAACATAAAAAATATAATGTTAAAAATTTTTGATTTTTTGTTTGAAAATTTTTTTTTTTCCTGTTATTTAAAATTTTTACTTTCTAGGTTGTTAATAAATAAAAAGACAATTTTATTTTTTTTTAAAAAATTAATTTTTTATTTAAAACTAAAATCTTTACAAATAATTTAATTTGAATTTAGAATAAAAATTTTAAAAAAGTCATAAAAATTCATCAGGTAAACTTAAATTAAATAATCTTGGTTTTAAATATAACAATATTCATTATTTAAAAAAAAAAAAAAGGTTTAATAAAAATTTATTTAATTAGAAAATTGAACAATAATTAACAATAATTGATTTAAAATGTTTTAATAAATGTTCTCTTAACATTTTTACTTTTTGTATATATAAACAACCTAACAGGCTTGGTCGCCATTTTTTTTTAAAATTCGATTCCATGTACGTTTCAACAACAATATCAGTTCGTATTAAATAATTTTCAATTAAATGTTCTATTTTCTAACTGTTTCTTTAAAAAAGAAACTTTTTATTTATTCATGATTAATTTTTGTAATAATCATTTTGTATTTTAGTATTAAGTTAGCACTAATTTATTTCACAATAATTATTTTTCTTACCATATTTTTAAAAAATTTTTATTGTCCAAGTTATTTAATTAATATTCTAAAAGTCTAATTCTGTGATAAAATTAATTTCTTTATTTTATTTTATTAATTTAATTGTATTTTTATATTTCAGGAGCAAACTGCAGTAAAATTTAATTTTAATCAAAATGCCGCCGGCAAAGAATAAAGGAAAAGGCAATGCGGAAAAAGACAAAGAAAAGGAAAAAGAAAAAAAAGGTGGAACAGCTGTAAAGGTATGTATACATTTTATTTTTTATTATTTATTTTATTAAATTATGCTATAAAAAAATTTTTTTAATAAACTACTTGAGTACAATACTTTACTCATCAAAATTAATTGGATTTTAGGTTAGACATATTTTATGTGAAAAGCAAGGAAAATGTTTAGAAGCTTTAGGTAAATTAAAAGAAGGAATGAAATTTAACGAAGTTGCTCAACAATATAGTGAAGATAAGGCTAGAGCTGGTGTATGTTTGATTTTTGTATTTAGTCGTTAAAATTTAGTGTTTCCTTTTTTAACATTAATAATTTTAATTATTGTCAAAATTCTTTTAGGGAGATTTAGGATGGATGACAAGAGGTTCAATGGTTGGACCATTTCAAGATGCTGCATTTGCATTACCCGTTTCATCTTTATCTTCCCCTGTGTTTACAGATCCTCCTGTTAAAACAAAGTTTGGGTACCATATTATAATGGTAGAGGGAAAAAAATAGTAAATAAAAAATACAAATTGTAAGTATTAAGTATTTTAAATAACACCTCAGTAAACTAAAAATTTTAAATTATTGTTTCTTGCCGAACACTAAATTTTTAATTTGTCCTATTAAAATCATTTTTTTATCCATATTTTTTACTATATATTTAAAAATGGGAAAATTGTAAATAATGGCAGTACATTGCACAATATTAGTAAATAAAATAAGTTTTCATCTATAAATAGTAGATTATTAAATATTGTTCAAGTTAAAATGCATTTAATATAGTCTATTCATTCTCGAAACTATTTTACTCATAATATTGTGAATATTTTTTAATTTATCAACTTTGATTAATTTTTTTTTATTGTTTTGTAGGAGTTGAATTCAATGCTTTTATAAGAAAAAAAAAGAAAACAAATATTTGTGTAAATATTCTGTTATCTTATTTGGATTTTTATGAACTTTAAAAGTTTAATTTTGTGATACAGTTTAATGATTATTCATTTTTTTTTTTTTTTTTTTTGTTAATGTGTGATAAGAAATTTATTTGGCAGATTTTAATTTTTATTTAACATTTATTAGGAAAATAAAAAATACAAAGTTTTTATAAATATTAAGTGAAAGATTTACTTTGGTATTTTTTTTTTTAAATAAAATTTGTCATTATTGGTAATTCACATTGGAAGTTAACAGCCTGAATTTCATAATTACTAAAACCTGACATCAAAACATTATAGGTTTACTTTTGCATCTATCAACAACATAAGCAGTAAATCTTTTGACAAATTTCGGATATTCTCTTTTGTAAACTTGCCTAAGAGCAGCAGCCGGAGCCCATCCACCTGGGTTAACTGTAAAAATAATAATATTGATTGTTTACGAAAAAATTTTTTAAATGATAATTAATTATTGATTTGTATTCGTGGATTTGTTGTAAAATACACAAATTACTTACTAACAGAACAATAAGTTATTTTGCACCTTAAATTTTCTCTACTTATGTTGAGGCCAGTCTTGGGGGGATCAACAAATGTCTGGCAAAGCAAACAAACAGTCAAATAAATTCTTACCGTCTTACCAGTATTAGCCTAAAAAAAAAAAATAAAAATTTCATTAATTTAAGTGTCAAAAAAAAAAATTTTCAAAAGGTAATTTTTACTTACAGGAAATTCTTGTAAATCAACAGAGTGATTTGTCACAGTCCAAATATCTTGGCCTTCAGCATCGGTTTGATTGGGTATGGATTTTTTATGAGACCAAAAAACAGCATCTCTTTGAGAGGCTGGCCATATTCGTTTGTGAACTTGATAAAAAATAAGAGTGTTTTTATCTAGTGCTTCTATCACAGTACTAGAATCTAAAGTAGCTATTAAATAAATTATTATTATTTTAAGGTATAGAAATTTTTCCAAGTTGTTAACTAATATTTTTTTTAAGGTACGTTTAGTTAATGAACTTACTTTCCCATTCCATTCTTACATCGGGACTAAAAAAGTAATGACACATTTCATGACCTGTAACTCCTTGGACTACATGGCAAGCTTTTAATGGATCCATAACCATTCCATTCACCATTTCTTCCCTTTTGTACAATTTCATTTCTCCTTCTTCTGCAAACAAGTGCCAATTGCTACCACTTCCTACCTCTTGAAGAGCATATTTTATTTGTTCTGCTGAAATTTTTTCAATTTCTGGCCACAAACTGCTGTGCTTGGGAGAACTTCCCAATTGATGCACTAAAATTTGTTTCGATTTCAGCCTTTCTCTAAACTCTTCATCTTCTTGAATTTTATCTAAACTGGTTTCTAATGCATCATAAAATTCTTCATCTTTTAATTTGCTATGTGGTCCTTCCTAATAAATAAATACATAAAAACTAAAATTTATGAATAAATTTTAAGCCGAAAAAGTTCAGTTTTATTTTTTATATAAAAAGACTACTCAAGTTAAATTTGATTTGGATGAAAATGCATTAATACATTTATAAATATACTGTGGTAAAATTATCTAACTTTATTAATAAATAATTAAAATAAAAAAAACAATAAAATACTAACCTCAAGATCGGGTCCTCCTTGAATAACAACTTTAGATTTTTGAAAACTCATTTCATCTTTAACTGCATTATATAATTCTTCTAACCTTTTCCTTTTTTCAATTTCCTTATCTAATTTTTTTTTCCATACTTCTTCTTTTTGAGTAAATAGATCTAAACAATGTTGCAAGGTAGTAAGTACAGCTGATGTAGTAGCTTTAAAAGTAATAGCTTCACCTTTAAAGTCTATGGCATGAACTCCATGATCAGGATTTATTTCATAAACAAATTTACTTCCATTTACATTGATAACATTATCTTTGTGACCATTAATTAAGGAATCAGAAGACATTTCTGCACATTTATCAAAATACTTTTGTAAAACATCCATTTGACTGCATAATATATTTTGAAAAGTATCTAATTCAGCTAATTTTTCTTTAAGACCTCTGCATTTTTTAGAACTAGAAGCAGAAGCTGATGATAAAGTCGTAGACTGTAGAGAAACCGAACTTCCGTGACGTTTGAGACTCATTTCACTGCCAAACACTGACTCAGCTTTATAATTTTCAAGAACGTCTATCCAATGTTTACGATCTTCTGGTGTATCCGCCCGAAGGTACCATGTGCAGTCATTTAAATTAATATCAAAACGACATTCATCAAATTCGTGGGGCTTAATTAAAGCTTTAAATATACTTATAGAACCTCGACAACCAAAACCACTATCTTCTTCAGATTTATAATAAGATAAAGTCCCATTTTTTAAAATAATAAATCTAGGTTGCCAACCGTGAATGTAATTTGTCCATTTATTTAAAGTGCCTTGTATTTCACTACTAGTGTTTCCACAATCAGAATCTTCATCTTCTTCACTACAAGTTAAACACTGAATATTATCAGACATTTTAAACAATGTTTTGATTATCTAAACAACTGAAATATGCAGACTAAATTACGATTATAAATAAATGTTGCCAGTTTTACAATTATTTTCTAATGACACGACATATATATTTTATTTAAACAGTCGTAATAGTATGATTGCAAAATAAATGGAATATAATTTATGCATTTCTACTTCTTTATTATTATTCTTATGTAAATTTTAAATTAAACTAATCACAAACGTTTTTTTAACATTCTCACATGAATTTATATTTATTACAACAATACTATACTTATTAACAACCCAAAATCTTTAATACATAATGGTAATGTACTGAAGTTAAAATTTAAATAAGTACTTTGTATAATATTACATTTATTGGTCAAAAAATTATTAATACTAATTAAATTTAACTAAAAAGATCTCGACATATTAAAATTTTAAAGTTCCTATTAGCGTTTATTATTGTTTTGTATTTATTTTTTTTAATCTTGAATTCTGATTTATAAATTTAATTTAAAAAAAAAAAATTAAGTAAGTATAATTTTTTTTCACCAATGTTTTTTGTTTATACAATTATTAAAATATTCTTTTCTATATTTAAAACAATTTAAAAATTTTTCCCCTTTAATATTGTAATTAATTCTAGAAAATAATTAAAAAAATTTTTTTGCAATCTCAAATGTTCATTTTTAACGTTATTTTGGTACTCACATAAAGTATTATTATTATTATTTAAAAAAGATGGAAATCAAAGTGCAAGAATAAAAAAAAATGAATTAATTCGTTTCGAAATTAGTTAATCGTGCGATTAATTGTTAAATAATTAATAAATATAAGCAAGTTTATTTAAATTTTTTAAAATAAATATGAAAATCAAATTGAAATTTTAATTTCATTGCTATAACAAACAGTCAGCATTGAAATTAAGTTTAAAAAATTTAATAATTGAAAAAAAAAGAGAATAATAATAATAATAATACTGAAAAAAAAAGAGAGAGAATTAAAGCAGAAATTGTGAAAATCCATAGAAAGCTTAGAGTAAATAATAAAAGGTTCAAATGAAAAAAAAAAAAAAAAAAAAATCATTATGAGAATGATCTACACATAAGCACAGTAAATGAAATATAAGGGTTTCCAACAAAAGTTTAATTCTTAAATTGAAGTTTATATCAGAAACTTTTGCAGACTTTTAACCCCTCCTCCCCACCCCCTTCCCAACTGGAGCCTCCTAACAAAATAATTGGAATTTTCCAACTGGAACATGGCTGCGCTTTGCGATATCGTTTCCTATGGGATTTCCGCCAAGCTTGGTAATTATAAAATGTTATTAGGATTTCAGAGAGTATAACATTTAGCTTTAAAAAATAAGTTACATCAACGTCACAAACCTTTCATTTCCGTATCGTAACCTTTCCCGCTTTAATTTTTTTTTTTTTCCAGGAAGGAAAAATTTTTAAAACTGAAAACACAATCATTTTTTTTTTTTTTCGCTTACTAAAATAACAAAAAAATTATTTAATAATAATAATTTATTAATAATTATCATAAATTTACAAAATTAATAAACATAAAACATAATAAACATTAATAAACATAAGATTGATTGTTTATTAAAAAACAAAATAACATGTCAATAAAAAATTTCAAATTTAACGGTTTTTTTTTTTCAAATTTCTTGGGTATTTTTTTTTCCAATAAGTAAAATTTTTAATTAAAACATAAACTAAAACATACTATAATACATAAACACATACATAAACTCTACATATTTTTAATAATATGGAAAAAAACATAATGAAAATTATAATTTCACCCTAAACTTAATTATTATTTATTTTTTTCGTACATAAAAGTTAAGGATACCTTTAAATTTATTTATTTATTTATTTATTATTAGTTGAATTTTATTAATTTTTTATTTAATTTATGAAAATTTAAAACCCTTATTTAAATTATTCATTAAGATATTTATTTTACATCCTTTAATAATTATTTTTATTTAATATTTTTTTTTTATTTATTTAAAAAAAGAAAGTTATTAATATATTTTTTACTCAATATTAATAATAATAATTTAAAATGATAAACGAATAGAAAAGAAAAAAAAAATTATTTAATAATATAAGTTAAATTCCAGAAAAAGGGATTGTTTTCATACACCCCGTTAGGGATGACAGGAATTCAACCCGCCTATATTAAATTTTGATTGGTTTAAAACTCGATAAAAGCTCTCATTGGCTGTTGAGATGTTCTGGAAGAGAAAAAAGAATTTTTTTATATAAAACTTTTTTTTTTTTTTTTTTTTTTTTTAAACGTTTTATTATCGTTTCCTTTAAAAATTAAAGAAATTAAATTTAATATATATATATATTACTTTAGTTAAAATCGAATCTTGGATCGAGTTCGTAATTTAATTATTTTATTTAATTAAAATTATAAAAAATTTAAAAAAATATATATTAATATAATTTTATGTGCAAAGTTTGATTTTTAAAAAATATTAATAATATATAAATAAATTAATAAAAAAAAAAATTTTTTTAATTTTGATTCAAATTTAATGGCGAAAACAAACATGATTGTATTATTTTAAAAATTTTTAATTTTTAATTTTAATTGTTAAAAAAAAAAAAAAAATTGTTCTCGTTCGATTATTATTATTATTATTATTATTATTATTATTATTATTCTTTTTAAACAAATTTTTCCAATTTGTTTTTTTTAAATTTTTTTTTGTTTGTTTTTCAAATTATAAAATTATGCCACATTCGGGTGAGTATTTAACTTATAGTTTTTCTTTTTCCTTTTTTTTTTTGTTGGATTTAAGTTTTCGTTTCAGAATTTTGTTAAATTTTATGGGAAAAATATTTTTTTTGTTTTTTTTTTTTTTTTTAAGGTCAAGCAGGTGTTAATCAATTAGGTGGTGTTTTTGTTAACGGACGTCCATTACCTGATTATGTCAGACGACAAATTGTTGATCTGGCATTAATGGGTGTACGTCCATGCGATATTTCCAGGCAACTTTTGGTATCTCACGGTTGCGTTTCGAAAATTTTAAGTCGTTTTTACGAAACAGGTTCAATTAGACCAGGATCGATCGGTGGGAGTAAAACAAAGGTTATTTTTTTATATATTTTTAAAAAAAATTCTTTTGTAATTAAACTAATTACTCAAATCTATCTCAAGGTAAAAAAAAAAAAAAAAAAAAAAAACCAAAGCCCAATTCCAACAATTTCATGACAATAAAAAAGTTTTAAAGAATAAATTTACCTTTTTCTCTCTCTCCCGAAAAAATATGTCGATATTATTATATTTGTAGCATGTAACAACACCCACGGTCATAAAAAAAATACTTAAATTTAAACAAGAAAATCCCGGGATGTTTGCATGGGAAATCAGGGATCAGCTTTTGACACAAAAAATTTGCGATCCTGCAACAATACCAAGTGTATCTTCGGTCAATAGAATATTACGAAACAGTGGAATATGTTGTAATACGGATATTCAAATCCCTTCATCGGGTAATTATTATTATTATTTCGAACCTTATTATTATTATTTTTTTTGAATTAAATTAATTTTCCAAGGAAATCTATGGCAAAAAATCTCTGGAGAAACGGATAATCCTCCAAATTTACATTCGAATTATTTTCCGATTTCGCCATCATGTCAAATCCCCCAGTACTCAATACCAATGAAACTTCAACATTTAAATTCGACGAGTATTTTTTCCGAACCGGAAATGCGAAGAAATGTTAGACCACAAAATGAAACATATTCCTGGAGTCAACAGTGTAAATTTGGACCTTTTGTTGTAAGCACAGCAACCGGATATTCATACAAAAGGTTTGTTGTTTGTTTTTTTTTTTGGTACGAAACTTAATTTGAAAATTTGCCATATTTTTTTTTTTTTTTAAAACTAATTTGATCTTATAGGGAATCATTTTTTATTTCAAGCGGAGAAAATGAATCGAAAAATAATAATTTTGTGTATGAATCAACGGATGACAAAGAAGAAAATAAAAATATAGTGACAAATAGTGAAAGGAAAAAAAAAATCCCTCATTCGATTGATGAACTATTAAAATCTTCTCCAA